CCACACACACTCACAGACACATACACTCGTTCACACTCAGACAAAACACATGAACATACACACACACAAACACACAATCCGGTACACACGCGTGCGGATTTCTGTAACATTCACGGTACATTTGTCGCTGACGCTGAAGGATTTTACTTCCCCCTTATCAAAAAGCGCAATAACACACAATGCGAGAGTAGAGCCTCAACCCTATCCGTACGCACTGGGGTCATTTTGTACCTCCGGGGTTGTATTCTTCACATTTTAAAATATTTCTAGTGCGAAGATCTCTTTGAAACTTTCAGTATTTCTCGTCATTTTGACAGACTGCTGTGCAAAGCGTGCGGATCGGATTAACGAGTAAATTTCCTCTTTTGAAAGTGGTGGCACAGAATTCCCCACGTCGTATGGGTACGATAGTAAAACGCGACGTACGGATAGGGTTATTTTTTTTTTTTTTGGCAAGTGTTTAACGGCGCTCGCAACTGCATAACGTCTTATGGGTGCGCGGGACACATTTAACTTTTTCAGTTGGTAGGACATTTTGAATTTTCCCCGGGTGGCGGCCGAAGCTTACTCTTATCGATTTTAGACCACCAAGGGATCTTTAACGTGCGCAACTTGCTCACGGTCCCTCCGAGGTTTTTCGTCCTTGTCCGAAAAGGCTAGGTGTAGATCTTTTCTACCAGAAGATTAGAGGTATGGCAGTAAGTCAGCAGTAAGAAGGAGCCAGTGAGTAGCAGCAGAAAGGCTGCAGAAAGAATCAGGAGCCCAGTTGAAGGGGCAAAGGACTTGAGGGGGTGGAGGTAGAAAGTGGAGACGAAAGCAGACGACAGAACATTGCTAGAGAGCAAGAAAAGAGGTGAAAGGAGACAGTTTTAGAGAAGAAAATTTTTCTGTCGCGACCCGAATTCGAACCCTGGACCTTTGAATGAGAGGTGAACACCTCTTGACCACGAAAGCCCCCAGATATGGTTAATGCTTCGCAACAGTGTGTTTGGCCACTTTCCACAACCGGCTATCCATGTGGTCAGTCGTGTGAGCTACAATAAACCATGACCGAAGTGGTAGAAAAGATCTTTCTCTGTCTCTCTGTCTGTCTGTCTGTCTCTCTGTCTCTTTGTCTCTCTCTCTCTCTCTCTCTCTCTCTCTCTCTCTCTCCCCTCCCCTCCCTCCTCTCCTTCCCATTTGA